ATGTGGGATGAAGAAAAAAGATCATTAATTGAGCAGACCTCTATGAATTGTGCCATGAAATCGGTATATATACTTCAGTTGATGCGCGGCTGGCGGTGGAATGGACGATAGCTTCCCTGCCAATTCATAGGAGAACCTTTTTCGATTGTCTACGTTCATTGCCTTGATACGACCCGAGTGATACACTATGCAACGCTCTATGCGCCATTCCTTGTCGGAGATGTAGTCTGATCGTTGGGTTGCTACTGTACAAGTTTAAGCTGCTATCAAAAGAGGAGCTGGCGCTTTGACCTAATACTTATGAACGAGTAAACACCCGTGTGGTGACCACACGGTGTGGAGTCATTAGGACAGCGCCACTTAAGGTGAAGCACGTGAAGAATAAAATATGTACCTCAGCCCTCAAAAACCTCATTGTACACCACGTTGAGACAATGCACGTCCCTTCCAGATGTCGTCTCTGGCAACAGCAGGCTGACACGATCACCCCTTTTTGCGCGGGACAGCGCCACATATAGTTGTCCGTGACGGAATACCTCCTCCTGCACATTGACACCAACGTACTTCAGCGACTGCCCTTGGGACTTATTCATCGTCATAGAGAACGCCAAACGCACAGGATATTGAAGCCGGATCAACTTGAACGACATATCCCCGTCAGCAGCGCTGACAATCTTGATCTTTGGGAGCATCACACTGCGTCTCAGGCCAACTCCCGTCCATATAACAGCTGTCGCCCCAAATTAGCTACAATCCATCGCGCTGATGCCGCGAGGAAAGACTTACCACCAACAACATTCCGTTCAAGGTGCGTTACTTGTAAGGGGGTACAGTTACATAGACCCTGAATGGGATTTATGTTGTGGATGAGGATGATCGGAGCACCGACTTTCAGACGCAATTTTTGCGGAGGCACTCCATTCACATCGAGAGAATTCAGGTATTCCTCTCCAAACGTATGTTCATCCTCGGTAGAGACGCTGTCGATGCTCTTGTACTCACGCTCATCGCCAGGTAGCCGCCCTAACAAATCGTCGTTCAGGGAGTTGACATCTACATTTCGTGCCGCGAGGACTGCTCTCTCAGCGAGGAATTCAGGAGTCGGCACACCGTCTCTCAAGCCTGGATAAACATGATCGACTAATGCTTCCACCGTGTTCAAGTGCAAAAGAAATAGATGGGAGCAACTTGATGTGATCTGACCGCTTGCTCTGCTCATTCCCATCGCCGTGCTAGAGTTGCGCAGTCGCTTCGCAGTGTCGTCGCTGAAGCTCCTCCACGGCTGCGCTCCAGAATAGTAGAGCCGGGCAGTCGCTCTGCAGTGCCGTCGCTGAAGCTCCTGCACGGCTCCACTTCAGAATAGTAGAGCTTGACAGTCGCTGCCCAGTGCCGCCGCTGAAGCTCCTCCACGGCTCCACTCCAGAATAGTAGAGCTGGACAGTCGCTCCACAGTGTCATCGCTGAAGCTCCACTCCAGAATAGTAGAGCTGGACAGTCGCTCCGCAGTGCCGTCGCTGAAGCTCCTCCACGGCTGCGCTCCAGAATAGTAGAGCTGGACAGTCGCTCCGCAGTATCGTCGCTAAAGCTCCTCCTCGGCTCCGCTCCACAATATTAGGGTTGCGCCACCGGGTTGAGTTGAGCCTCCGGTAAACGCCACCGGAAAACGCCACACCACTGCTCTATATAGGGATAGAGATCCGCGGATTTGAGGAACCAATGTCTCTTCTCTCGAGCTGGGCTGAGCGTACTTGGTCCTGATCCAAGTCGAGCCTATCTTTTGAGGAAACTCGAGGATGATGAAACGCTTGCAACATTCATTCTGGGCATCATTCCGGGCATCATTTCGGGGCTGGGTTAGTCACCAGTGGGGGGGGTCTCCGTCCGTTATTATTTTTTTCGTGGTCACCACCGACTGACTGTACATGTCGTGTTGGCACCGGGCGGTATACACAGTGAAGCCATCCCTCTGGGGAAGCCAACATCTGAAACGGCCAGCAAGATATGTATTGCGGATGGCCTGTGGGGAGGCTCGCCAATACATACATATCAGCCAGCTCGCCCGTCCGTCCGAGGGAGGGTCCGTCCGTCACAGCATTTCCTTCAGGTTCTCAGCAAATCTTCTGTGTGTTGCTTATGGTTGGGTAACAGGTGTTTTTTTTTTTTTTTCATTCTAGTCACGGTTTAAGGCTTCCCGCATCATACCACGACCGCAAGTGCAGCCATATTTCCTCTCAGCACTGGCCACCCAACATCGTCCGGCTGACCGTGAGTTGGGATTATATATGTATATAGGGTCTAGGGTACTTGTGGAACTAGATGTTGTAAGCTTAAGCTTATGTTACAGAGTACGCGCTCTGGATACAGCGAGTGATACCGTATGGAAGCCACTCTGAACCCATGTTTCTGCTCAGAGGATCCGCAATGCAAGAGAAATACAGACTCCTAGAGGAACGATGCATAAAACGGAAAGTGACAGTTTAAGTCGTCCATTGATCCATTAGTTACTAGGTAATATATCGCTCCCAACAATAACCCCATGTGTGAATGCATTTATCGTTCATCATGAACTGCCTCCGCCGGTGCCGCCACTACTGGTTCCACCATTGCCTCCGCTGCTGCTTCCGCCGCCGCCTCCGCCGCCCTGACGTCCGGTACTGTCTCCTGCGCAGGTTGTGCGTCAACCCGGTGACTCTTGATAGTTTCCTCAGCCACCGGGATGACTGTTTCCTCATGCTCTAGTGGCTCCTCAAAACGCCGAGTCATGGTATCCCTTATGATTGTAGTCGATTCGCTGCTGTCGTCGATGATCTTACCGACTACCTCCCGCATATCCTGCGCATCCACCTGTGGGGACGCTTCCTCCGGCTCCATATCATTTACTACCTGCCCTCGTTCCTGGGCCACCACTGGTGGGGGCGGTGCAGCAAGTTCGATCGGTTCTACCCGCATCACAACAGGACTTGGCCACAACGTCCGAATGGGCAAAGCCAGAGCAGCCGAAGCCAGAATACGCAGATTGGCCAGCACTGCCGGCCTGTCACCGGAGCACCTAAGGCGTATCCAGATCGCGGCGGTCCAATCGGTGGCGCTATACGGCGCCGAACTCTGGTGGGATGGGCACCAGAAGGGCAGACAAGAGCTACAGAAGCTGTTCAACCGCCAGGCGGGGGCCATTCTTGGAGCCCTTCCAACCACAGCGCTGGGACCGCTGATATTCAAGGCCGGACTCACAGATGCTGGCTCCATACTGTCACACCGAAGGCGGAGGTTCGCCGCAAGGCTGGCAGCCACCCCGGGCGACAACCCGGCGGGCGACCGCCTGCGCGCAGCCATTGCTGCAACCCCGGCCGAAGAGAGAGTCACGACCGCGCGACCGCTTATGCGCTTCGTCAGCAACAACGCCTTTGGCGGCGCGGCAGCCGCGCCTAAACCAGCGAATATCATGGCCAAGCTGGCCAGCGTGATTCCGGGGCACCCACACCGAATCGAACCAGTCAAGACCAGAGTACTGGCACCGCAGGGGCGCACCGTCGTGATGGAAGCCAAGCAGGCTTCGGCTTCAGCCATCATGCATCAGCCACCAACCGAGAACGCCATCGCCGTGTACTCGGACGGCTCAAGACTGGAGGACGGCAGCTGTGGCTACGCAGAAGTCACGCAGGTGGACGCCGAGCAGAACAGATGGAGACGTACGCACGCCTACATCGGAAACAATAAGGAGGCCTACGATGCGGGGCTCTTTGGCATCGCAGCCGGCCTGGAGATGGCGCTCACATGCATCCGAAGCAGCACGAAAGGCTGCGTCCGCCTCTTCACTGACGCACAAGCAGCCCTCAAGCGCTTGCGACAAGACGGAACAGGCCCGGGACAGTGGCTGCTGCCTCCTATTACCCGCGCCGAAGCCAAATAGGGCGCCGAGGCTGGAACATGGAATATCACTGGGTGCCGGGCCACGCAGAGATGGGCAGTTAGACTGCGAGCTAGTAGGACGGAGCAGCACCAAGGGATAGGTCTCGAGCCTCTGGGGGCGAGCGCGTGACGGGCGGGGATAGTGCTGGCAGCTCGGAGGCCGAGTCGACCAAAAAGCCACAGGCTCTTGGCCGACCCCTATAAGAGGGCCCGTCTGGTCAATTCCTCGAGGGTCCTCCAGATCGCCAGTACCGCACCTCGTCTTCGCATCCTCGCTCCTCTGTTCTTTTTTCCCACACACCACGACCGCCTGGACCGTCCCCCTGTAGCTCTGCCCACGCAAGGCTGGGAGAAGTTCAGCCCGGCACTGGGCTACGGGGCTGGGCTCCCGAAGCTCAGCCTCCGGACCCGGTTCTGCCGGGCTAGGGGCAATCTTTGCAGATGTGTGATTCAGGTTTCGGTCTTTTGTATGGTTCCTTTTGGATGTTTGGTCGTCTTCTGGTTGTTTTCTTAGTACTGTACTTTTCCTTCCCCGCTGCGGAGAATAGACTAGGTGCCCGGTAACGAACTGGCCGAAAGAAGCGGCGAGCGGCCGCACCAGGCCTCTGGACGACGACATCCTATATAACATCTCGTTGGCCACCATCGGCCGCCAGATCACTAAAGCAAAGAGACAGGACAGAAGGGCCTGGCTGGACGAGCATTGCAAGCCCAAAGGCTACTACCGACGGAGGGAGCGAGCGACCCAATCCGACCGTTGCCAAGGAAAAGAAAGCCCTTCTACCAGCTGAGGGTTGGAAAGGCTCCTACGGGGCCCTACCTCCTCCGGTCCGGGCGCCGTTCGGACGATAAGTTCTGGTGGTGTGGCTCCCGCGACACCCAGACCCGGGATCATCTCTTAAAGTTCTGCAGGAGGTGGAAAAGCGAGCAGATGGAACTGTGGCCACCAAAGAAGCGCTGGCCAGTCACCTCGGTGACTGCCCTGCTGACGGATGGCAGGTGCACGGCGGCTGTTGCCAAAAAGAAAGGCATGTAACAATGGCGCAGACATTTGGGTTATACCTTTCAGGATTGTATACCAAACATCACTAGGGGTTGTAGCGCAGTGGTAGCGCGTTCGCTTTGCATGCGAAAGGTCCTCGGTTCAATCCCGAGCTGCTCCATTATCTTTTTTTTTTTTGCAGTTTCGTTGCCGAGAAAGAACGAAAACGAAGAATCTTCCTTAAAGGAAGAGACCTGATGCTCAGTCGCAAAAGTTTGTAGTTTTGTGGCGTCAACCTCCCATCGACACCCTAATACCGCGTAACAAATAATCAGGTCGACGTCTCGACAAACCAAGAGTTACGCAGTTCCCATTCAAAGGAGAGCATGGGAAAGAGGTCAGCCACTGACTTCTCCCCCCACTCGCCGCAGCGTATGCGTTGTGTTTTCATTTATCGTAGCTATTATGTGGGGTTGTAAGTCATGCGGGCTATCATTCGGGCCGTGGGTGTGTCACAGCTAGTCACTCGCCAGGGGAAGTCCTGGGGCTTCTCTTGTGCAAAAAGTAAACGCCTCCGAGCGTGGAGACTATTAATATTATTGGCTCAGGGTGATGCGATGAGAATGTAATATAGCTATAGATGCATTGCCCGTGGGGTAGTAGCATCTTTGGTCACGTAGACTGCATGACTCTATTCAGCCACTACTGGTAGAAAAAAGGTTTGTATTCTCGCATTACTTCTGTCGTCAGAAGACTGCCGGCGAAATTCGGCATTCAAAAGGAATTTTTACTGCATTCCCATGAGTATTTGCAAAATGGGCCAACTGTTGCTAAGCTCAATCAAACAATCTTATCATATCATATCAATCGGATCACGAGTGCGCCTCCATGAAGCACAACTTAGTGATAATACATGATTCCCTCTGCACGTGATGGCTCGATCTTATCGGATAAGATTTCGAGTGCCTGTTCATGAAGCTTCCCTCAGTGCTATTTCGTGATTATGTTATCACGTGATTACCAATAAACCCTAGCCCCTGCAGTACGAAGGGAAATGTGATCGACCGAGCGGAAAGAAGATGAGTTGTGGGTTTCTCCTTTCTGGAAGCGTATAGAAGAGGGATGGAATCTGTTTTGCTGTATGCACTCAGGATTAGACCTTTGATGAAAAAAGGAGTACGTCTCGAGCGAGATCGTCCCCTATCAGTCTGATAAACAGTTTCGCCCACGTATAGATCGCCCGCAGGAATGGGTAAAAGTTAACTTCCAGGACAAATTCCAATCCACTACCTAGGACGGGCGGTGCACTCATCGAAAATTTCGGTTGGTAGTCCGACGGATAGGCACCAGGGAGAGAGCGCCCCTGATCAAACCACTTCCTCACCGCAAGCCAGAAGGAAATTATGACGGTAGTCTCCATAAAGGTCCAGGACGCATTGAGTCTGCTCAAAGGATTATTCGCGAAGAGTGGCTACTGGGAGTGGCATTCGCCATGCTATGCGAACGCAGGCGTACTTTGGACCCAGTTGTGGCAGTGCTTTGAGAAGAAGTTGGTGGCCAGAATCGTGCTGAGAAGGCACCGAGCATGTACCAGAAACCTGGATACGGCTTTCACGTCTATTGACCCTCATTATACATGCCGTTCTCCTTTGATATGGGGATATATGAGACTGCCGGTAAGGTTTTATAAACTGTTGGAAACTGGCTTTCTATGCATGGATAAGGACGAGTGAGAAGCAGTGATAGAATACCGATGTTTAGGCTCGGAAGTGTATATAAACGCACTTAGGTTAGCCTGTTAGATAGTAACAATATAATTGCTTTTCCCATCACCATCCTTCACCACAACTTCGGCTACGCTCGACACCTACACGTCCACCACTTTCAACATAAACGACAGCATTATCCCGACCGGCATCGTTCTAAACTCGCATCATACCCTATTTGGACAAAGTCTCAGCCGGCATTGGACGTTGTTGTCTCTGAAATGCGTGTATCCTTCCACGTCAGAAGGGGAAAAAAAATTCCCATCATAATTGCTGTGTGTCTTATCGACCCGTTCTCGCAGAACGTATAGCATGAATCCCAACTTAATCAATATCGGGTTCTGCTCTGCAATGACCAGTTCAGCTCTCTCGGGCTCGATATCAGTCGGTATGGGAACCCTTGGCCCCTGCAACGTCTCCCTCAATCACAGACTCCTCAGTCGCAGAGTATGTCGTCTCATTCTCCTTTGCTATAGCTGAAAAAGCATCAGGTTCCAGAGACTCGAGAGTTCAGTGTTCGCTGGAGCCGCATCGGAAGTTGAACCTGGAAGTTGGAAGCGAGTGAGATCCGCTGAAATAAAGAGCGTTAATAAGATTACGCATGCGGCTCAAGAACGCGCCTCGCATCATTCAACCAGCAAACTGCACACAGACCCATCACTCGCAACAATGGACTCACCAACAGCCGCGGCCCTGCCAGACACTCCCAAAGAGGTGATAAAGCAAGGAGCGGAAGCGCTGGTGTATAAGACGACATACCTGCTACCCACGATTCCGGCGCTTCTCAAACTCCGTCCGCAAAAGCCGTACCGACATCCGACCTTGGATCTGCGGCTGACGAAGCATCGCTGCCTCTCAGAAGCGCGGCTGCTGATCCGTGCTCGAAGCCTCGGAATCCCCGTCCCCGCAGTCTACTTCGTCGACGAGGCTCGTGGTGAAATTTTCATGGAGTGGATCGAGGGTTCCAGCGTTCGCGACATCCTTGATCAACTCCTGGCGAGCGAGGGGGAAGCCGCTGTGGAACGTATCATGGTGCGCATGGGCGAAGTCGTCGGAAAACTCCACGCTGCCGAAATCGTGCACGGCGACTTAACTACGAGTAATGTCATGGTGAGAACTTCGAGGCGCAACAGCTTATTAGGAGGTCCGGGCGAACAAGAGAATGTCGACGTCGGTCAGGGCGAGGGAGAGCTTCTATTGATAGATCTGGGACTCGGAAGCGTGTCGACCGCTGAGGAAGATAAGGCAGTTGATCTGTACGTGCTGGAGAGGGCATTTTTGAGCACGCATCCCAAGGCGGAGCGTCTATTCGGGGATGTGCTTGAGGCGTATCAGAGGAGTTACAAGGGATCCAAGCCAGTTATGAGAAGGCTTCAGGACGTCAGGATGAGAGGACGCAAGAGGAGTATGATCGGTTGATTCACATAGTAATCTATGAAAGAAAGGGCAATATTTCGGAATAGCACTAGTTGAACTCTACTCTAGTCTCCGTGTTTTTGGCGATAGCACTTCTATAGAGCCTTCCACGGTTCTTCGTCGACTATCGTGTCCAGTAAAGTGATGACGCCCACCAGATGCCTAAATGGAACAGCAACCGCAGCAGATCGAGTGGAAAACTCCAGGATCTATGACCAGCCGGATTGCAGCAACCTAAATAGCGACTCCGCATATGAGAGAATGAAACCTCCGTCTCCCAGTATTGAATTGAAGTCTAAGTCCTTGGTCCTAGCTATTGTTCTACCGCACCGAACTTGCAGAACCTCGTTCCAACCTTGACTAAAACTCCTCAATACCGCTTTCTTCCGCTGACCTGGTAGCTCCAATGGTTATTCATGTTCTGGAGCTCGATGATAGGCGAAAGCATGGTAATAGATCCGGGGGTCGTCCCTCCCGCTCACAACAAACTTCCTCTCAGAAAGGCCTACCGGTAATAGAAGAAAGAAAGAGGGAGAAGGATTTTCTGGGAGAAGTGCATTTATTGCGCTCTGATTCGGCCAGATGACGGGATGGTGGTCCTCCTCATATACTTCAATGGCGACCGGACAAACCACCATGGTCTCACGCCTGCTCCTCCATCGTCCCCAGGTGCTGCTTTCTGTATAAGGAACCTTCAATCCTAGGATCCGATATCCGTCCGGCGTGCCCGTTGAGCAAATATTCAATCCTACGCATCCGACCATCTTGCATTCCATCAAGGCCATACTATCGAATCGTGTCTATGATAGTGATAACCCTGAGTAGCGCCTCCGGCTTAGCCCCTCCCTCACGCCTGTAGACTCTGGTTATAACTTACTTCGTGCTGGTTCTAACTGGCGACACAGCAAAACATGGCCCAGCACTCGATCGGAGAGGTGACAATCTGTGCAAAAGGCGGGGCTGAGCAAGGCTGAAGACCTATTGACGAAAGCTGTCGTCCCTGCGAGGCGTGGTTGGCTGAGACAGTAAGACCAAAAGTTCCACAGTCTGCTCTGGGTGGCCCCCTGATTCTTGGAACCGGGGGCCGTCGCGGACAGGGTGATGGTTGATGAATGTAATGCTGAAGAAACTGCCATGATATCATTACTCCGAGAAGTTCAAAACCATCGGCATGACGTAGGACACAATCCTAAGGATGGTTTCGGGGGTGTGTTGTTGCTCCAAAGTTCCTGCTGGGTTTGACGATAGCTGGTGAGAGCGTTGATTGTGAGTGTTAATTCTCAGCAAGCTGTCATGCCAGTACTATTCACATTCTAAATGCGCACAATGAGGCTCTTCGTGCTGGGAAAGTGAGCTGTTGCTGTGCTTAGGCCATAGGTCTCACAAGAGAAGGAAAGCTGGACAAGGGTTGCGAGTGAAACGGTTGGTATGGAGCAGCATTGGTTATGGCCCACTGCCGTGGCAATGCAGCAAACGGTGATGATGGCAGCAGTTCCCCTATCTGCCACCAACACATGATAATCCCCCATCTCCCTCCTAGTACGGACCAGCCTCTTCTTGCCGCCAAAACATACATCTCCCCCTCGCTCTCCTCCCTCTTCTTTCCTACCATCACACCTCTTCAGCTACCTTTTTTTTGCACCTCATTCCTGTGTTAATCTTCATGTCCTCAGAGGGACTCGAAGCCTCCGCTCCTCAACGAGCTGAATAGTGCTGTGGTGCTTCAACGCACCACAGACCGGTGTGAGCATACCCAGCGCACATCCCTGCCATCCGAGGAGCGATTTTACCCCTTCCCCGCCTCTCCAAGAAGGATCCCGACCGAGCCTTGATTTTTCTTGTCTGATGCGCTTCTGCCATCGGGAAACCCATTATTTTGAGGACTCTTACGTGTTTGGAGCTCTATCCACATTGCCGCCACGACTCCCGCTCAGAAATAGTGTACCCCACCCGAAATTTGAGAGTGGATCATACAGCCTATAATTGCCAACGCGGAGTC